TGAACTTGATAAATTGTTAATTAAAATGAACAGTAGAGGGGAAGGGGAAGGTTAAATTTCCCAGCCGGCAAATAGGAATGAAGTATGAAATGTTGCTTCCTTACTCTGGAAAATAATATGGCCTTGCCTCAGTTAGGATGTAGCTATTGACAACAACAAGGGGGAAAAGCATTTAAACATCCCAGCCTGAGTATTTCTATTTAAATCTGATTACAGTGAAATAAAACTGTAGCTATTAAAGGTTTAAAAGAACTACAAATACAAGCAGTAAAAGAAGACAGTTAGTAAATGAGGTAGTAAAACATTTCAGCGGGGCAAACAGTTTATAGTAGCCTGCCTTCAGTAACGGGCTGCTCTGCTCACCACAGACCCATGTGCTGTTCCCAAAACTGCATTTAAGCCTGCAATTAACCTTTCACGCATAATGAAGCTGCTTTGCTGAAAATTAAAATTTATCGTACTGCCTGCTTTTGCTAAAGTTTGGGAGGGAAAGCAAAGGAGATCACAGAATGAACCCACTTTCAGAGTCTATTGTTCAAATGTAAAATTCAAATGTTGCACTTGCACTCCAATTGCACCCAGTTTGCAAAGCAATCTGCTTTGATGTGGTACATTTTATTTCTGTACTTATTAATTGTGCTGCATAATTGTTAAAAATAAAAAACTCACACACCAGTAATTTTATGGTTAGGCATTCACTGTTGGAGGATCAACTATTACCCTTAGATTGCCTTTAGAGAAGACTATAGTTCTTCTTTGTACAACCAAATTAGTATTGTTTTCCCTTTGTTCGTGGTGCATATAACATTGTCTTTTAAAATAGTAACAATGGCACTTCCGCTGACATACTGAATTGGCCAATCTTTTTAATGGTGTGTTACTAAAAGAAACTATCACTTGCTTTCCAAGTAAAAGTTGTAGAAATAACCAGCACCGCTTTTGCGAAGCTAGAACTGATCAGACAGATCTCATTGCAAAATGGACTGTGGAATTTTTAGGCCGTTAGATCACAAAGAAGCCTGTGGCCCTGTGCAGGTGACTCATTAATTCTGCTTCTCTGATTTGGTGTTGAATCACGCTGATTCTACACTGCTCTTGCTGCAGAGCTGAAGAAATTGGAGCTATAAGCTCAGGAGAAAGGACTTTTTTAAAAGGGGAAGGCATGAAGAGAAGGTAAATTAAAGAAGCCATGAAACCGGGGTGGGGAGGTGACAAATGCTCGATATCATAGGATTTACATTACTGGCCAATAATATTAACTTAACTATTTGGAAACAAATCCCATTAAATAAAGGTAAAGCATAAAAATTTAAGTCCCAGCATTTCTATCACCTCTTTGGTTGCATTTTGATGTAAATTCTACTTGCCGGCAGCATCTGTGCATCATTTTGACTTCGTAAATGAAATTCTTTTAGACCATCAGCCTGAAATAATGAATTGTTCCCTCAGTTAATTGCATTGCTTTGATAACAAGGAAGTGTGTTGGGCCTAGAGAACACAGTAAGTGAATTTCATCGGATGATTTGTATGACATATTGAAAAATGATCTGTTGGAGTGACCTGATTTTATTGGAACTTTAACAGCAGCCTACCATGTCCCAGTATTTTAAATACTACTGTTGTTATGCAGAATAAGAAGAACAGAACTAAGCATACTTTAGGAAATGGGAAACTTGGGAAAAAACAAACAGAGACTATTATCTAGGGAAATCAGTCTAGGGCTATAGCCATGCATATGGGAATCAGATTATATTTTCAAAACAAGTACAAAGTTAGGAGCCAAGACTTGAAAAGAGGTACTTCACAAAGGAAGCCAGAATGGGCCATATGGAAACACACACATGCAAACATACCAGGAATCCTCAGATTTTGCAGGGTAAACCCCCAAAAGAAAAACTTTCAAGCTTTTTGACACTGGAGCACCTTGGCCTTGATCAACTTGTGTTCCTCTGTCTGGACTGGGCTTTTTTACCTGGGCTACAAATCCATACCTTGTTTAGAATTAATTCTAGTTTTAGGACAAAGCAGTCTTCAATACTCTGAATAGTCCAGCTTTGAGACTTGTGCATTTTTGGTATCCTAATGCACCTTAAAGTGAGTTGTGGTGGTTAGAATGCTGAACCGGGGACGCAGGAGATCCAGGTTGTAACCCCCACCCAGCACATCTCTTCGGATTATAGCAAATGGAATATAAGATTTCTGCTACGATCCTATATACACTTAGAATAAGCCTCACTGAACTCATGGATAGGATTACAACACTGTTGTTGCTGCCGCTATTTATACGACATTTATGCATCACCTTTCTTCCTCTTGCAAGGAACCCAAGTTAGCTTCCATGGTCCTCCCTTTCTCCATCTTATCCTCACAGCAACAATCTGTGAGTTAGATTAGGCTGAAAGTCTGTGACTGACTCAAAGCCACTCTGTTAGGTTCATGGCTGAGTGGAAACTAGAACTTGGATTCCCCAACTCCCTTTTTAGCACTCTAACCACTACATTGGCTATCAATGTAAGGAGAGGATAAGGCCAAACTACACATTACATTCAGCACACAGTTTAGTAGTGCATGCTAAGGATTAGAGCTATAGTGCTCAGGGAAATGTATTAACTTTTTCTTCATGCCGCAGCCCTAGGAGAGATCGCCCCACCTGAAACCCTCTATTTGGCACAGGACAGAAACTCATACAGGTGCCAGTGACAGCTTCCATCCTATGCTAAGCAGCAACTTCCAAGAGAGGCAGATTTTTCTGGGCAGGGAGAAAGTGTTTATGAACTAAAGTGCTAATAATGATCCCAAATGCACACCACCTCCTATTACTTCCCATTTAACATCAAATAAACAAGTTATTCCCCAGTTATGGAACAAGCTCCTACTAAGGACCACCTGGCGCCAACTCTGCTACATGTTTAGCACCAAGTTAGGACTGTCCTCTATGACAGATCATTTAATAACGTTTAAATAGTATATTGGATCATTATGTCAGCTGTCTGACAGATCTCATGTGATGAGTTGCACAGATGTAAGCATCTTGTCCAGCTGTCAGTCTCCATAACCAGAAAACAAGGTAAGAAAATGCACTGGACTCCTCAGCAGATGCTCTGTCACTAGTGGTGTTCAAGTCCACAGGAAGGTGAACAATTGGATCCTGGAAATTCATCACAGTGAGCCTTTGAGTTTCCAGGAGTGAGTTCACTGGATAAAATCACAGCAACTCAAACCATTCGGAAAAACTCAGCTAGATGGTTACTTGGGGCTGCAAAAGGGGCAACAAAGTAAGGCTTTGCTACTTCCTGCTCACCACTCACAGTCAGCATGACTAGGCCCTTGTATGCATGCTCAGTCATCTTCAGGACAAGTTGTATGCTACTTAGGCACCATTCATCTTCACTGCTCCAGGTTCCACAGTGCCAAACAGGACTCTCAGAATTCATTGTGTTGCACCCTGCCACTGTGGAAGTGGCCTGAACGGAATCACGATCTGTCACTACAGGAAAATCTCTGAAAGTATCCAGGAATCCTTTTGATTCCATAAGTCTAATAGGGCAGACCATCTTAATGAGTTCCACACCCTTCCACAGAGGGACTGACACTATGAAACCAAATTTCAGAAGGAAATGGTCTGGCAACAGCAACAGGGTAATTCCCATCATCCACCAATATTTATTTATTTATTCATTTATTCACACATGCACACATATATAGGCTGCCTATAACTGCTGAGGCCTTCCTAGGTGACTTAAAATCCAGACAACCCTCCTCATATTCAGAGGCAAAGGGAAAATGAAGAGTATGCCTGCCCCAGCTTTTCCTAGGGTGGATAGATTCCTGGTGAGCAAGAATGAGCTTCTTGTGGATCATGGTAACTCTGGGTTTCTGTAGTTTGGTCTGAAGAATTAGTTCTGAGAAGGGGATAAAAGCTTAGAGGAAAAGTGAGCATGAATGGAATATTGTTCTTGTTCTTCCTCCCTCCCCCCTCCCTCCCAAGTTACTCTACTCTTGTGGCGCCTGGAAGAGTATATATTAAAAGCAGCCTTTTCATTCATTCACATCCCTACTGCAGGACCTCAGATCCCTCAGGACGGCAGGACTCTTGCCAAGAGTGGCCCTTGGAATTCCCTCATGGCCATGTCTCTCCTAGTCCCACCATATTTCTTTTAACCATCACTGATTTTTCTACAGTTTTCCTCCCCCATTCTAAAAGGTTGAAATGCCTCTGCTAAGCTTAGCAAGAACATTAAGGTAAAATGTTAAGATTTGGGGCCTTTCTATATTGCCTTCCACCAGATCCACCTCTAGAATATAGCTGCCAAAAGTTTCTCTGAAATGGAATTGAATCCTTTGTCTGAAAAAGATTCAACACCTTATTTAAATGTTTTTAACTGAGAGGTAGTGGTCACTTTTGAAACATATTGAGCTGTGAGTCGCATTAAAGCATGATTTGCACATGTTGGTTTTTGTCTTCTATACATCTATGTTGCTACACAGAAGTTGATATAGGAAAAACAGTATAGAAATACAAATAATCTATTTGTCAGACATGTCTGTTTTCGTATGTATACATGTTGGAAGGCCACAGTACTGAACTGAAGAATAAATTATGACCACACTGTTACAATTCACAGCCAGAATCCACAAATATTGTTTAGTATTTGCAGTTGTGAAATCTTTGTGATCGCTTCTCACTGATGTATCATGCAGCATTGTTAAAGATAAATTCATGTGCACCTGTTGGCTGAGCAACACACAGAGAAGATAGTAGATGCTCTACCTACTACGATTTCTTTACTTAGCACTTCTTTTCTTTCTGATCCAAGAGTCATGGTGATTCTGCTGGCATTGTTCATGAGCTAGTTTCTGGAGACAATGCCTTTAGTGGAGTTAGGGACACCTCTTCTCATTTGGAAGCAAAGTAAAGCAAAAAAAAAAAAAAAAAGGCAGGTAAGTTGTCTCACAGCAGGCCATTCAATTGTTCTTACTCTTTTTTCTTCTTCTTCTAGGATTGGCAATTGCAAGTGCACTGATAGACATTTCACAGCAGAAGCCCTCAGAATGTAAAGATAAGAGCTTGGGAGTCAGAAATCGAAAGCATCACCTTTCAACACGTCAAGGGACTTGCGTCTGAGAGTCAGAGAATGCATTTGTATATTCTGCAATGTTTTTTTCTTTCTTTTTTAAAGAGCTTCTGTTGTAAGCTAAATTACAGCCTCAGTTTTTGTGGAGGCAACCTCTGAATGGCAGTAAGGATGACGGTAAGACACACCAGGCAGATGGATTAACAGCTCCTTCCAGCTGTGCCCTCAAACCTGATCATCCTGATGGGCAAATGTGAATATATCCGATGAACTTCAGGAAAAGGTTCTGACATTGGTAATGACAGAAAAAACAACTGTTGTTACCCATATCAGGAAAAAATATTGGGAAGAGACTGTACATTGTTTTATAGCAAGGAAATATATCATTGAAAATTAAAGTAATTCTAAAGGACTCATTATATAGCTAGAAGTAATGGGTTATTCAGTTTCTCAGCTTGATCAGCATTAAGATACACACACTTAAAGAAAGCAGGAATTTGCTTTATTAGAGATATAAATATTATTATCAATGCCCAGATATGACAGCAGAATTTAAACTAGGTGGTAAGCAGTTAAGGGAAAAAATGCTTCAGTGAGACAAATATAACAAAAACACATTTATTTCAATGACTAGAAACCTACATTTATGCAAATCAAGGAGTTCTGCCTTCCAAAGGACCTACAACTGTCTGAGATAAAGCAGGATGAAGAACGGACTTTAAAATCTACAACATAAGAATTCAGAATGGGGAATGCAGCAAAAAGTCCATGCCTGACTTCCTTGCCAGCCAACTGACTCATTATAAGAGCTGATTGAGCATGGAAAAGCCTGACCAGCAGCCAAGATCCACTTTTTTTTTTTTTTGGGCAGCAGCCATTTTTAAAATTGCAAAGCTCAGGAGGGCAAAATTGCAAAACGTTTTATTCCTGTGCAGAAGTACATTTGATTCCATCTCACTAATGTCACAACAAAGGCCAATGTCAAATGTAGTTTTAGGAATAACATCCATTAATTCCAATAGACGTATGCATATTCAGTCTGGGAACAAATTTTGCAGCCTTAAAATCATTGCCATAATCACTGTTGCCCTGATGTTGGCCTGGCCACATTGACTTGTTTATCAAAACTGTTACAAGTAAGTCTCGTCCTCTTAATAGAAGATGCAAAGTTCTTCCTATTCATTCCACATTTTTAAAAGTCCCGTGTCCCTGACCTTAGGAGCACTTTTGTTGGTTAGGGCTCTTGAAATGGCATTTCTGTGTGGACAGGCACAAAGCTGCCATATACTGGCCAAAAGCTACGTGGAAATTGTCTAGAGATCTGAAAGGAAAATGATCAACTATCAAGCAGCTCCCCTGCTTTGTATTATTTACATAGAATTAGATCCACTGCAACCCTTCCACTGAAGGAGGAGACCTTCCATATGCAGAACAGCTCTTCCTGTTCAGGAAAGGGCCTACAGTCTGGCAGAGACAACCACTGATAGAGGGCCATGGCATTTCTGGACACTTTTTCTTTTCGTCTTCCATCTCCCACACAACCTGCTGTTGTTATGTTGTTATGGGGAGTCCCCAATCCTCTGAAACAGCCCTCTGAGTATGAGGGGGACCCTGCCCATGAATCTGTGGATCCCACCCATTGATCTGGTTCACACAATCAAAAGAAACAAAGTAGCCCATTACATTTAGTGGGAAAGTCATGGATAGAGGATGGCAGCAGATTAACTACATGGATATTTTGACTCAAACTCCTTAAACCAGACATTAAGCGAGATTAGTGCAACTTAAGTACTTAACGCTCCTATTTAATCTCATTCATTTCAGTGGATCTAAGTGTACACTTTTTAAAAAGTTGGTCTGCACCCAAAATGGCCAATTACACCATCCAGATTACAGATTACATAGCCTGGTCGTCTCGCAGAGCTTCCTGGGAAGGGCAAAATAGCAGTTCTTAGTTTACAGAGCTGCCAATATGTGAATTGGCCACAGTGGTATAAACTCGTACCTATGTGGTGGACGTGTGGCAATTATGAAAGCTATACAAATGTAATTGCTCTTTACTGTTATACCTGCATTTTTCATGTTTGTTTTGTTTCAGGAAGGGGAAGACATTTCACTGTTTACACTTTGACTACATAGTTACTTGCATGCCAAGGTGGTGCAGTAGCAGTAATAATGCCCTGTTTGTGAGTTGATAGTGTTTCTTTTGTAATATCATTTAACTACTTAATTTGGATGAGGACTGAATGTATGCAAAAGAAAGAAATTAAATGCATTAAAAGGAACTGATGTACAGTATGTAGTTCCCTCTCATCCAAGATCATTTGGTTACATTTGATCATGATTGCTCTACTGTTTTGATTAGTTGCACATTGAAAAATTATGCTGGCATGATTGTTGGAATATTTTCACATCTCGAAAGGAGACTAATCCTTATGCTAAAGTTATGTTGTCACAGTGTGATAATTTTTGTTGACTGTTATTACCTCACTTTGTTATTATTCTAAAGCAAAGGACCCAGTTTCGCAAGGACTTACATGTCAGTAAGTCTACTTACCAGACATTATTTACATGTGAGCTCTTCCAGAATTAGGGCAAAAAATGTCCAAAATTATCAATTACTGAACTTTTGTAATTCTGACAAGGGTCCTTATGTGTTTTGTTTAAAAAAAAAATAAAGAAAACCCTCCTATCATTGTAATGTTGATTTGCTTAAAATGTCATTAGAATTGGCATGTATGATGAGTAAGATGATTATCTGAAGAAAGACAAAAGAGAAATAAAAGACATGGCTGTACATTTCATGGTTTATCCAACATGTTTGTGTTATCTCCAAGTAGACAGATATTTTTGAACAACTATCTATGTAACATCTATGACGCACTGTTCTATGAACAAGTTATATTGATCCAAATGTTCACATCTGTTCAATTAAAAGGAATTATACTGCTGACAGTAACACTTGACCGAAGATAATGATGCCTTAGGTCATAATCTAAAGTAAATATAGTAACTGATAGTTAAAATCATAGTAATAAATGGCAAGACCTCTTTATTACCTTGTGATTGCTCAGGGATTGACTATTTTTGGAACCCTGATCAGTTAGTCATGAAAGACACTCTTCTGATAACAAACTCTTGTGAAGCAGCTCTCTTGTTCTGTGCTTTCTACGATGATGGGTTGTATTCTCCAAGTTCAGATTGCACAACCAGCAATCATGACAGGAAATACCCTGGAACAAACTCCTCTGCCTTTTCATGTTTGACAACCACAGTAAGTCCCAATAGTATATCGTCATAACTGGGTTTGGACAAACAACCATGTTTCTTTATTTTTTTTAAATTGGTGGTTTCGTGTGTAGTCTGAATACAGTCATTGACTGGGAGGCAAAGGTTGACTATGGCTTGGGTGGGTTTATATGACATTAGAAACCATGATGAAATCTTACTCTTATGGGTCATTTGTATTTCCTGAACACATTTCCAGAGTATCTGCATGGTAGAATTATTTTTCTGAACCCATGGAGAAAGTCAATGATCTAATCTAAGGCTTCCATGCTTCATCATGACTTATCCATTTGTCTGGACCCAGGTTCACCATTTTACTATTGTAGGTATGGAAATATCATAGAGTCCACTGGCAAGAGCAGTCATAGAAGTGGCTGCATCTAGCCTTCAGTCTCTACTTCCCTCAGTTACCTAGTAACAGAAGCGTATAGCTCACTTTAGTTTTATTGCCAAAATGATGTGCCTGTCTCCCAGTTTACTTTTGAAAACAGGGAAACAGCATGAACATGTGTGGAGGATGAAGGGGGAAATTGAGGTAAACTGTTTATTTCCATTGACTAAAATCTCTATGGAGACTGGAGAGGTTGGGAAGTACTCCAGACTTGCAGGTACAATTAGGAATGGGAAGAGGAAACCTGCTTAGGACTTCAACAGATCAATAGGAAGGAGGGTACTGCAGTCCTTAAGAAAAGGGGCTGTGAGGATGTGTAGTGAGGCTGAGAGGATGGAGAGGGGAGCATGAAAAGAGCATTGTCCTGGGAAGCACATGCCTGGCCAGTAAGGTAAAGGTAAAGGTTTCCCCTTGACATTAAGTCCAGTCATGCCTGACTCTAGGGGGCGGTGCTCATCTCCGTTTCCTGGCCAAAGGAGCCAGCGTTTGTCCGCAGACAGTTTCCGTGGTCATGTGGCCGGCATGACTAAACACCGAAGTGCACGGAACGCTGTTACCTGCCCACTGAAGTGATACCTTTTTATCGACTTGCATTTGCATGGTTTCGAACTGCAAGGTTGACAGGAGCTGGGATGGAGCAACGGGAACTCACCCCATTGTGCAGATTCGAACCGGTGACCTTTCGATCAACCAGCCCAGCAGCACAGCAGTTTAAACCACTGCGCCACCTGCAATCAGCCTGGCCAGTAAGTTTGGGCAAAAATCTGCACACCACAGAAACAGCATGGGGTTGTTTGCTGTATTGTATGAATCCAGTCCTTGCATATGGGTTGTTGCTGAAATGTGGGTTATTGTGTTGTGTGTACCCAACTGGACAAACAAGCCATGGTTGTTAACAACAGCCCATGAAAGCTACCCATAATTTGTTCTTGGGTTGTAGATTGTGGGTTTTCACCATGGTTTGCTACCTTGGTTGGAATTAGGCCACTCAATAACAGCTCATGGTTCAAGAACAACTCACACCTACCCATTCTCCACTTTGGCTGTAGCTTATCATGCTGTCCTAACCCAGTCACTGGACAGTTCAGATATAACTCTAAACCTTTTTATTTGTTTATTATATGTTTAACCTATTTTTCCTGTACAGAATACAATATAGCATATATTTTTAACATACAATAAAAAATCAGCAAGGGGGATTGTAACATGGGAGCAGTAAATGAGCAGTAAAACTTCATCACCAGAACAATTAATAAAATGCAAATCAAGATAAAGACTAACAATGTCTTAAGAGATCTTTTTAAGAACAGTTGTGTTAGATCCATCACTTCCTGGAGGCTGCAGGTGGGGCATTGCACAAGTATGTGGCCACTGCCAACCCTGGTATAAGTCAACCTAACATCTGCAAATAGGCTAGGAAAAAATAACTCAGAAGCTGATCTAGGAGCTTGGACAGGTGCAGATAGCCTGGCCAAACAATGTTAGACTTTAAGGGCTCCTATACAGGAAGGGTTTAACCTGCTGCTGTACAGAGGCTCCTCCTTTTGTCTGCATTGCGGCGAAACGAAAACATCCTCGGCACAAGACTTTTTCCAGGGGTTTACATTTCTTTGCTTTCCTATATATTTGTTAACCAGGCCCACAGCGGTGCTGTGTTACTACTGCAGTGTAACAGATGTTCATCTTTGCACAGCACTTTTGCTTTGGTTTGTTGTGATTTCAAATCTAATGCCAGATTTTTCTTTGCTTTGAAACAAAACCAAAAACAGAAAAGCCTGGAATACCCTGCAGACTCCCATGAATGAGAGATAACAAAAACACTAAATGCCTCGTGTAGAGAGATTCTAACTCCCCCTACCCCATTCTTCATTGAGTTCAGTGGATGAAATTTTCCTTACACTTATCTGGTAGTCAATGGGAGAATACCCTGTTGATGGAACCATGCTGAGCCCAAAAGTCTGTTCCTCCTCTGCACCACCCATTTCTTCTCCCCATTTTGATTTTTCTGCAGCAATACCACTGGATCAGGGTACCTGTGCTGTATCTATTTCAGTGGTGTATCTCCAGTGGTGGAGGTACAAGTCATATTGTGACCATAGCAAGTTGTCCATCCTATCCCACAGTTCTTTACCCATGTGCTTGAATATAGTATTGGCATCCTTTCTTCATTAACACTGTGGATAGAGATAAAGTGTGGAAACACATTTAAACATGTGTTTGCATCAATACATGTTTAAATATAACGGTGAAAGGAGGGACTATGGGGCCTGCCTACCCAGCCATCGATAGATAATTAGGGTCATGGCTGACTCTAGGGGGCGGTGCTCATCTCCGTTTCCTGGCGAAAGGAGCCAGCGTTTGTCCCCAGACAGTCTCCGTGGTCATGCGGCCGGCATGACTAAGCACCGAAGTGCACAGAATGCTGTTACCTGCCCACCGAAGTGGTACCTTTTTATCGACTTGCATTTGCATGCTTTCGAACTGCAAGGTTGGCAGGAGCTGGGATGGAGCAACGGGAACTCACCCCATTGTGCAGATTCGAACCGGCGACCTTTCGATCAACCAGCCCAGCAGCACAGCAGTTTAAACCACTGCGCCACCTGCATCCCCTAGATAATTAGGGTAGATGTGGACAAATCAAAGATTTGATATAGTAGCTCTCTTGATCCATCTTGTATGGTAGCTGGAAAAAATTGCTGTGTGGCAGGACAGAAATGGGCACATGATATATTTCCAGATGTTTTGGTCTTCAGATCCCAGAATGCTTGCCAGTATGGCCAATGGTCAAGAATGTTGGAAATCAAATTCCAAAACATCTGGAGATCTACTTTCTGCCCACTCCTGCTTCAGTGCAGGATCAAATCAATTAAACAATCTCCCTTTTTCCCTTTTTCATTTGTATACTAAAAAGCATTCTCATCCATCTTAACTAATCAGTCTATTTTGGCCTACATGTTCCAGTGTCCCCTTGTAAATTGCAGGCATCTGTTTAGCTGCTCTCTTCATAGGGAAATATATATATAGAGAGAGACAGCAATATATATTGCTGTCCATTCTAACTCTGCCAGGTTTCTGTATCAAATGCACCATCCCGTTGTGTTCATGTGATGCATATCTCACCCACTGAAGTCAATAGGAAATTTGTCACACTATCAGATCTTGTCAAGGTTTTGGCTATGATCTTTGACAGAGAGATGAATGTATCAGGCTTTTCTGTAGCAGCATCAATGTACTGACCACTGTCCTTGAAATTAATTTGTTCTCAACATATATTCTACATTTTTGTTCCATCAAGGGACTCAAAATGCTTCTTTCAAAATTCAAAAAAATGTTGAATACATTTTTGAAACATTAGTGTCACTTGTTTTAAGTCTGACTAAATGTCTCATTTTAAGACTTGCTGTGTTTGCAAGCTTGTGCTGTGAAATATCAGCAGGTATTCTAATATATGTTCGCAGAGTGTTAACATACTCCTGGTTCCCTCACAATATTATGTAGTTCACTGTCAGCACTTGCTGTTTTGCCACTGTGCAGCAATCACAATGCAGGGGAGAAGAAAGCACCCCATCCTTGCCAACGGGTTCTTAGAAGCCATTGCAAACTTGGAGGCACGTGCCCTATAAGATGCAGTTGATTGCCAACTAGCTGTGCCTGGTGTGGGTGCAGGCTGCCATGTTGGGAGACGGGCTGCTAGACCTGGGCAACCAATGCATTTGCTGACCAAGAGGTTTCCAGCCATTCTTCCATCTCACAGTTTCTCATAAAGAAGATGTTGGCCTTGCCCTAGATTGGTGCTGATGGGTGAATTCCTCCAGGGACCTACCTCAACCATTGCTGCTAGGGCCACATCAACACGATAATTTGTTGCCAGGGCATATTAATCTAGTTTCCTGTATTTGTCTGGGTAAGAGAAAATTTCATTAAGGAATTCATTAGGAAAGGTGGAAGCAAACAAGTTTGGATCTGTTTTTAAATCATAGATAAAAGAAACATAGATACTTATGTTTGTTTTCTCTGTCTCCATATAAAATTTAAATGTGTACTTCCATGAACTTACTTACCATAAGGAATACATTAACTCAGGCAGGATTTTTAAAATTTAAAGTAAGCTGAAGAATTTATT